CCAAGGAAGTGTTAATCTTAAAAATGAAGTTCAAACACTATATCTAGTTAATCAATGATTATGTTACTTATTTAAATTTGATTTATTCATACTTGTTTTTTGCTTAACCTTTATAGCCAGCTAAAGTTTCAGATCGAAGTTTCTTGAAGTTAGCTAAGGAAGTGTACATCTTAAAATGAAGTTTAAACTCTATATCTTGTAAATCAATGATTATGTTACTTAATTGAATTTGATTTATTCATATTTCCTTCTTTCTTGCTTCAGTTGTCATCTTGTGCTGGGGGAACTTGGATCAGCAGTGCAGTATTTTAATAAATGCATGGAATCCACCGCTAGTGTCTGCTTGGATCGACGAACTACTATAGAAGCAGCTGAAGGCTTACAACAGGCTAAAGTACGCATTCTCTCCTCAGATATATCACTTTCTACCATGGTCTAATCAAATTAATTTTATGCTTTATCAATTAGGATGTAGTATATGGTAGAATGATTCAGAGGTTTATTTGCCAAGAATGTGCTGAATCAGCTCATAGTTCTGGTAATGTCAAATTGAACATACTTTATTTTACTTACCGGCAGAGGGTAGCTGACTTTACCAGCTGTGCATCCATATTATTGGAGAAGAGAACACCTGATGGTGCATCTGACGCATTGGTTCCAATTGCCAATGCCTTGTTGATTAGTTCATGCTCAGATAAATTGCTTCAAATGAAGGCCGAGGCCCTGTTTATGGTGAGTAGCCTTTCCTTTTTAGCTCTAAAAAAATTGAATGTTGCTTTCAGTGGGGATGATCTTCCATGTGAATTGTGCAGATCCGACGTTATAAAGAAGTGATTGAGCTTTGTGACAATACCCTTCAGACGGCTGAGAGGAATATTGTTTCAGAAGGGATCGGTGGGACGACAAATGTTGATAGATTAGGCTCTACGCATCACGCCCTAATAGTGTGGAGATGGAACATGATTTCCAAGTCGCACTTCTACTTGGGAAACCTTGAGAAGTCCCTTAATATATTAGAAAAGTTGCAGCAAGTGGAATATAACTACAATGAGTAAACGCTTTTTCTATTTTGTGATATAATAAATTGATTGATATGCATGTATGTTATCTATTTGTTTGCTGAAAGTGTATGTTTTGCTCTCCAGGAATCAGGAAGAGTGTCGTGAGTCACCAGCTTTTTTAGTGGCCACCATTTCTGAACTTTTGCGTTACAAGGTATGCTCTATGTTGGAACTTAGGTGTTCTTCATATTTCTGTGTGGTATAATGTTCTCTTTAACATCAACAGGTCTGATACAATCATTATACTTCTTTGCTGATACAAATGTTTTTTCCTGCGTTGGTTACGTTTATCAAAATTTTCTCCTGTGATTACAGAACGCAGGTAATGAAGCTGTTCGGGAAGGAAAGTATATGGAAGCAGTAGAGCAGTATACTGCTGCTCTATCAAGAAATGTTGACTCACGCCCTTTTGCAGCAATTTGCTTTTGCAATCGAGCAGCTGCTAATCAGGCCCTAGTCCAAATTGCTGATGCAATTGCTGACTGTAGTCTTGCCATGGCTCTTGATGAAAACTACACGAAGGTATATCATAATATTTTAGCTTTTAACTAGTGAACACTGAGCACACTCACAAGCCTTCCTCTGAGCTAGAACAAAATGCTTGTGAAGCTTTGTATAGGATTTGGTCGAGGCAGGTGCAGTAAGATTCGTTTGGGAATACCAATTCCTAAAATAATATTTGTGTATACTCCCAAACAAAAGAAAAATTATATATCTTTCAAGTTCACAAGCAAAGACACTTAGCTGTATAATGCTTCTTCCAAGATTTTTTTCACATCTTAATTGGAAAGCAATACTATTTAAACAAGGAGCATGTATAATCTATTTTCTTGAAATGTGGCAAGGTAATGAAGCAGCATCTAAACATCGTTGAGGTTTCATTAAAATATTAACCTGATTTATCCTTCCATTTTCAGGCAGTTTCCAGAAGAGCCACATTACATGAGATGATCAGAGATTATGGTCAAGCAGCTAGTGATCTCCAGAGGCTTATCAGCATTCTCGTAAAGCAAAGTGATAAGACAAAAACACCAGAGACATCTGCTGATCGTGCAAGCAGCAGAAAAGAACTAAAGCAGTCCCGTCAACGGTTGTCTTTAATGGAAGAAAAATCAAAAGAGGGCATTCCTCTGGATTTCTTCCTCATCATGTATGCTAACTTTTCGCACAGTCAATTAAACAATTCATGTTATTGGCGCCGAGGCTAAAATTACTCTATGCATTTAATTTCACTAAAATTGTAAGCTGATATATCAGACTATAATATAATCTCATTTTGCTAATTTGCAGGGGAGTGAAGACAACTGACACTGCGGCTGATATCAAAAAGTCATACCGTAAAGCAGCTCTTAGACATCACCCAGACAAGGTTACCTAGTGTTTTATTGGCTGACAATGATCCAAATCATTATTTTAAATCTGCTGATATTACCTCCTTGATGTGTATTCAGGCTGCACAGATTCTTGTCAGAAGTGAAAGTGAAGGACCGTGGTTGAAGGAGATATTAGAAGAGGTTCACAAGGGTGCAGATAGGCTCTTCAAAATGATTGGAGAGGCATATTCAGTTCTTTCTGACCCGACTAAGGTTAATTTTCCCCCCATGAACACTTATTAGGAATAGAACATCCTACGCTTGCCACGTATGACATGTTACTGATCAGGTTTTTGTTTTAACAGAGGTCGGACTATGAACTCGAGGAAGAAATTAGAAAAGCCAGGGCATCTAGAGAAAGCTACAGAAGCAGAAAGGCTGCGGAAGCAAGTAGCCCTCCTTATCAGACAAGTGCAAGCAGGCGATACTGGAGGGACAGCGGGAGGACATACCGAAATACGCCTTCTTGGTGGTAGAACTCTAAAATTCTTGGTGGCATTAGGAAAAGGAACCCAGTATTTTTTTGGTGGTTTAAGCAAAGAGGATTCCTCCGAGGTGAGTTATTGCAGAGCTGGTGAAGTGTACAGGCCTGCTACACATCAGTTCAGCAAATGATACCAGCTTGCATATTAAAGATTTGTTTGCTTCAATGGTGAAAACGGGGAACTCAACTCCTGTGAGGTTGTGACCTAACTACACATTGTCTGAAAAATTACTGATTGTACTGTTTGTAAACACATTTGGTAGATCAGAGAAATGAGAAACCTAATTTGGTCTTTAACATATTTTGTATCTGAACCTCTCCAAATTCTTGAACCTAATACACTCTTGAACCTCAATTTCGCATTGGAAACTACAATTAGTGTTCACCTTCACCAACACACAAAACCATGCATCATTCATGCCAACAGTACTTATCATGCCTAAGCTTGGCAAAGGAAACACTAAATCTTTGTGTCTAAAGGATTCTTGTCTTATACATTTATGTTCTTCTGTCTTGTTGAATAAGGTATGAAGCAAACATGGATTTATTATTGTAATATTATTGTAGACAATAGAGCACACAGAGGAGTTACTGAACACAAGACATTACAAGTGTATTTGCTTTATTGATACTAATACTTGGACAAAGCCAATTCTGGTTGCCAAGTAGCTGAAGTGAGCTATAACTTAATATAGATGCATTTGTAGTGTCAAGCTGAGAAAAGTTTTCACTCAGGAGTTTTGGCAACTCTTTGACAACATAATCATACATACGCCAGTTCTTCCACTTTTCCTGAGTAGCATTGAGGTAGAACCCAGCTCCTAAGTAGAAATCAAACAGAAAAGAAAGAAAAGTTTATCACCCTTCATTGTAAGAATGACCTGAATACATTAAGACAAAACCAATAAATTTGAAGCCACAACTTTAACTTGATCAGAAAAAAGAAGTGCTGTAATGCAAAGCAGAAGCATGTAATGTTTCATTGCCATTAGTTTGTTTTCTAGACATTTGTAGAAGCATGTAAAACATGTTTTCTAGACATTTGTTCATTGCCATTAGTTTGTTTGAATTTCTTGGTGTGGACTGAGAGAATGGTGGGAAGCATTGAGACCAAGAGCCTGCAATCAAACGGGTCTGTTCATCATAATGGTCTTAATTTGGAAGAGAAGCTTGATGTATTTCGTCGTCTTTTGGGGAAATCAGATAAGGATCTGTTGAGGATTGTAAGTGTTGGTGCTGGTGCTTGGGGAAGTGTTTTTGCAGCACTTCTCCAAGAAAAGCTATGGATGTTTCAGATCAGGATTTGGAGAAGAGCTGGGAGAGCTGTTGATAGAGCAACTGCAGAACATTTGTTTACTGATAAGACGTTGCGCTTATTGAAATATGTCGAGGCAAGGCTCGGTGACAGGACACTCTATGCGGATGAGATATTGAAAGACTGATTTTGTCTTAACATGGTTGATATGCCGCTTTGCCCTCTAAAGGTTGTGACAAAACTGCAAAGTGGAGGAAACCACTGGCAAAGTTCTTAAGTCAACCTCATTTTATTGTTTGGGACAATAATAGTGATCTTGTGACACATGAAGTAATGGGAGGCCTCAAGAATATCTACGCCATTGGAGCTGATAAGTTTCTGTTTGTACACAAAGACTTGAGTGATTACCTCGGATTTTCACGCCTTTGATCCTTCGCGTCATATTTTTCAGGTATGGTAGCAACGCTTACTAAAGAGAGTGCTACAAGCAAGTCGGTGTATTTTGCTTATTGCACATCTGAGATGATATTTATAACTCATTTACTAGCACAAGAGCCTGAGAAACTTGCAGGACCTTTGCTAGTCAGTCAAGCTTAAGCATATTACCCTTAGAAGAGAAGAAACAACCTATAGCCCGGTCGAATCATGTCCTATTTCTAAGACACTCTACAAGATACTCATCACAAGGTATATATGAAATCTTAAAGTGTCTAATCTTCCAAAAAGGTTCAACTTTTTGTCAGTCAGATTTGGTATGACATGAGCTATAGCTTTCATGAATGTCTTGGACTTTGACATTGAATATTGCCCAAATTAGCTATACTCCTATTGAAACATGATAGAAAAGGCTACCAGTTTCTTGATCAAATCATGCTTTTTGTAAGAGAATTCAAATTTATTTTGATTTATTTTTAATGTTTAACATTAGCATTATGTTATCGGATTTATTATAATTTTTTATATAAAGTTTGAATTATTGTTATTATAATATTTGTTTATATTTGCTTGCGAACTTGCTCATTTAACTCGTGATCAACATGATCTGAGTTCGAGTTTACATATTGAAACTCATATAATAAATGAGCTGAGCTGAGCTGGCTCATGAAATACTCGAGTTCGTCATGATCTGAGCCGAGTTGAGCGAACTGCCTCATTTTGACACGCCTAACTATACATGAGAACAAAAAAAAAACATGATACTTGAATGGATTTAGGGTTGCAAGAAAATTTACTGATTAAGCCAATAAGGCCCATTAAGAAAAGACCCATTAAGAAAAGGCCCAATATAAACCGACCCGTTTCAGAAAGTTGGTTAAGAAGAAGACTCAAAACCTCTGTCTGTCTCTCAAGTTGTGTAAACGGAATCAGAATCACTCAGCTTCTCTATTTCCTTAAGGCTTATTCATTGTTTTATTTTGAGAGGTATGAACAACTTATTTGTTTCGAAAATATCTGATTTAGCTTCTCTTTTGTGTTTTTGGTGAAGATGGATATTTAACAAAATTGGGTTGTTGATTAGGTTATGGGTTTTTTTTCTCAGGATCCATAGAGCTTTGAGCTGTTGAGCAGCAGAGAAGTCTATTTCGTGTTTGGGGGTTTCGAAAAGAGTAACGAGATTCTTGGGTTTCTTCAGTTCCTGGTAAGTTCCTGGAAAGCTTGATACTTTTGACTGTTAGGTGTTTGTTTAAATTCCTGAGAGAGCACCAATACTTTGATTTAAGAATAAAGCTACTCTCTTTCTTTATTCGGTAATGCTTCTTGTATACTGCCCAGAGAACTAACTGGTTTTGTGTTCTCCTTTGTTCCAGGGGTTTCTCTAGATTGCTCTAATTAAGGAAAACATGGAACCCAACAAGGAAGATAATGTCTCATTGACATCTACAGCTCAAATTCTACAAGATGCCTCCTCTCAGCCAGGTAATTTGTTAGCATTCAAGTTACTTGTTATATCTAAGATTACATGTAATTGAATGCCTTCACACTACTTCACTTTTTCCTGGTAGAGTCTTTTCTCTAATATTATACTGTGTAAAAGGGTTTTGGTGTCTCATTGCATCTAGATTACAACTTACTTTGTTCTGCCTAGTCCATGACTCCATACGTGTGCTGGGTTTTCTTTGGTTTTGGTGATCGTTAACTCTTGTAATTGAAGTTTTATATGTACTAAAACTTCAGGTTTCTCTGCCATACCACCTGTGGTTCCTCCTTCCTTTCCCCCACCAATGGCTCCAATACCAATGATGCCACATCCTCCAGTTGCCCGCCCACCTACTTTTAGGCCACCTGTTTCGCAAAATGGTGGAGCGAAAACCAGTGAATCGGATTCGGATTCAGACGGTGAACATTTTGAGATATCTGAAGAGAGTAGGCAGGTTAGAGAAAGACAGGAAAAGGCAATGCAAGAGTTGTTGATAAAGCGTCGTGGTGCTGCTGTCGCAGTTCCAACAAATGACAATGCTGTTAGGGATCGCCTTAGACGTCTTGGGGAACCCATTACTCTATTTGGAGAACAGGAAATGGAGAGAAGATCTAGGCTGGCTGGGCTTATGGGTAAGCTTGATTTCGAGGGGCAATTGGATAAATTGCTTAAAGCTCACGAAGAAGATGCGGCTCCAAAAGAGGATGTGGATGATGAAGTACCTGAATACCCTTTTTTTACTGAGGGTCCAAAGGAACTTAGAGAGGCTAGAATAGAAATTGCCAAGTTTTCTGTCAAGAGAGCTGCTGTCAGGATTCAGCGTGCAAAGCGGCGAAGGGATGATCCAGATGAAGATATGGATGCAGAGACTAAGTGGGCTTTAAAGCACGCTAAAGACATGGTTCTTGATTGCAGTAATTTTGGTGATGATCGTCCACTTACCGGCTGCTCCTTCTCACGTGATGGGAAAATACTTGCCACATGGTATGTGTCTCTTCTATCTCCTTCGTACTTCATTGATACATGTGAATAAAGAACATGAAGTTCGTTAGGCCTGTAGCTTTATATTAGAAATAACATACTCCATGTTTAGTTCATGCATTACACATTCTCAAAGTTCCTGATTTGTGTGATACACATAATTCCTCTTCTGTTTACTAAGTGGTTTTTCTTTCTTTGTCTAGTTCTCTAAGTGGAGTTACTAAATTGTGGGAGATGCCTCAAGTTACAAACAAGATTGCTGTCTTGAAGGATCACAAAGAACGTGCAACTGATGTAGTGTTCTCCCCTGTGGACGATTGTCTAGCAACTGCTTCTGCTGATCGAACTGCGAAGCTATGGAAAACTGATGGAACGCTTCTACAAACTTTTGAAGGCCATTTGGATCGTCTTGCACGTGTTGCCTTCCACCCGTCAGGGAGATACCTGGGAACAACCAGCTTTGACAAAACATGGAGATTGTGGGATATAAACACGGGTGCAGAGCTGCTTTTGCAAGAAGGTCACAGTCGCAGTGTCTATGGAATTGCTTTTCAACAAGATGGAGCTTTAGCAGCTTCTTGTGGGCTTGATTCACTCGCTCGGGTTTGGGATCTCCGCACTGGTAGGAGTATTCTTGTCTTCCAAGGACACATCAGACCTGTAAGATTCTATTTTTGTTCTCTTATTTACTAACCATTATCCAAATGTCTAAATCTCATCTGTTTTATATGCTTCTCCAGGTTCTCTCAGTGAATTTCTCTCCTAATGGCTATCACTTGGCATCTGGTGGTGAGGATAATCAATGCCGTATTTGGGATCTAAGAATGAGGAAGTCATTGTACATCATCCCAGCTCATGCTAACCTCGTGTCTCAAGTGAAATACGAACCACAAGAAGGCTACTTCCTGGCCACTGCGTCATATGACATGAAAGTCAATGTAAATACTTCTACAGTCCCTTCCCTAAGTATTTTTTTTTTTTTTATCATGTTTCATCTGCTTATAGTTTGATTCTAATTTCTTACATTTTCTCTACCTCTACCAGATATGGTCAGGAAGAGATTTCTCGCTGGTTAAAAGCTTAGCAGGGCATGAGTCAAAAGTCGCCTCTCTCGATATCACTGCAGATAGCTCGTGTATCGCAACTGTATCACATGACCGCACCATCAAGCTTTGGACAAGCAGTGAAAATGGTGAAGATGAAGACGAAGGGAAAGAAACAATGGACGTAGATCTTTAGTTTCACTTTTCATATTTGTGCCGGGACATAACAAATTGTACTCCAGGTTCAGCGATTAGCCTTTTAGAAATCATTAAATCAGTACTTATATCTTGTCGAGAGCTATACAATATCATGTTGTCTTTGAAACTTTGCCATTGCGTTTAACAAAAGGAAATGACTCAAACTTTGTATACATGAGATTTTTCAAAATATGTTTACCAAAAATTCCGTCGCTATATTACTCATTAGATTGTACAAGGAACCAAAGTAATGCTCTGTGTTTGTAACTTGTCTGAAGAACAGAGGATCTAGAGACTCTTCACCGGCAAGAAAGTGTCGAAGTATGAAACAGAAGGTGCACGCTAAAGCGCCTGCAATAGAAACAATCAAATAGCAATTGTTTCATTATACATATGTATGGTAATATACATCTATCTGAGACCTACCTGGAAGACGAGAAGATGGATACAAAGAGACTTTTCTGATTTAGGACCAAACAACCTCAAGTACACGTTGACGAGTGTCCCATCTTTTAGTTATTATATAGTATGTTAGATGGTTGAAACATGAGTTGACAAGATTCTAAGTATGTCACAAGAGTAAAAGTAGATATAAACCTGAGGAAGCGACAATAGAAAGTTGAGAACTTGAGGAAGAAAGAAGATGATGAGGGTTTCATTGAGACAAAGGCATGTATGTATGAGTGTGAGAATGGATATAAATATAAGTTGGTTCTTGAACATCATTGCACAAACGCATCACACATAGAACAAAGAGTGTTAGTGTTGTTATGTAATCATACTAGTGTTAGTGTTGGTGTTGGGAAAAGAAGTGAGAAGCCAATCGTTAAAAAATGGTTGTTATTCAACTTCATGTCCAAAAGCTGAGTCCATAGTAAGATCCACTGTTCAATCTCACTTTGATTCTGATCTCACAATTTCCCCTGGCTTGCTTAGGCTTTCATTTCCATGACTGTTTTGTTCAGGTTTCAGTTCTTTTTCCTTGTTATTTAATCTTGATCACCTCCTTGATTGTTTCAATTATATATATATGCAAGTTAATTGATTGTTGAATTTTAACATATATGATATATTATTAGGGTTGTGATGGGTTGGTTTTAATCAAAAGGGAAATCTGTGGAGCAAGCCGCTCTAGCGAACTTCGGTCTAAGAGGGATGGAAGTGATCGATGATGCAAAAGCCCGGCTCGAGTCGTTGTGTCATGCGCATACATACTTGCACTTGCAGCTCGTGACTCAGTTGACTTGGTAGGCAAGTTTACTAAGCTTAGTTAGGAAGCTTAATTAATTCCTTTGGTAGTTTTTCCAATTACTATATATCACCTGAGTATGCCGTATATGTATGTGAAACTGATAGCTTTGAGGCCCGACATCCTCCACTGCTTTACCAATATGGGAGATCAAGAAAGGCCCAAAAGAAAACCCAAGAAAGAGGGAAGGGATTGGAAGCTTCAGGAAGCACTTAAAGATGAGATCATAGCCTTTGTTACCAGGGTTGCTTTATCATAACTAAGGTTACTCAAATAAATTGTGGTTAGTGGTTGTCACTGTCACCTTGCTAGCCTTAACGGCTTTCTTAGTAAAAGTAGTATAAGACAAGGTAAGGGGAGAAGGGAAAAGGGTATCCAGAAATTGGTATCATTTTGTAAGGGGGTGGGAGAGATACCAGTAAGTCTCTCAAAAATTTGTCTTTTATCTATCAATAAAGTTAATCGTTTCTATCATTACATTGTTCGTGAGTTTACTGATCTAAATCATAACATTTTGGTATCAGAGCACCAAGATTCTGGAGTTTGATCATTATGACACCAAGTAAGATGGAACAAATGGAGAAGGTTGTGGAAGGTTTGCAAGGGGAAGTCCAAAACCTCAGCGCTTTAGAAGATGACGTTAAAGAGATGAAGAAAAACATGGAGAAGTTGGACGTCATGGAGAAGTTGGACGTCATGGAGAAGCAGATGCGCAAACTTGACGTTTTGGAGCTGATTCAGAACCGTTTGTTTGGTGAGGAGCGTTGATCGTGGGTGACAAAACCAGACACCGTCAACACGGTCGGCGTAGCTCACCTGTTCAAGCAAACACCACCGACGGAACAGACACAAGCACCAAGCGAAACCCTGGAGAAGAACGAGCCGTTAACGAGGAAGATCGAGATCCGTATGTTCAATGGCGAACACGCAGAGGCTTGGGTTCAGCGAGTCGAGCAGTACTTTGAAATGGGGGAGTTTTCAGAAACAGAGAAGTTAAAGGCCGTGCGGATGTGTTTCGACGGAGATGCTCTGACATGGTGTCGCTGGGAAAGGGACCGAAACCCATTTCTCGACTGGCACAAATGAAAGATCGCGTTTTGGAAAACTTTTCTCTAACCCATGACCTATCTGCCGGCGAAAGATTGTTGCTTCTCTGACAGGACGAAACAATCAGGAAGTTATGTAATCCTTGTAATATATCAACTGATCCAATCCTTGTAATATATCAACTGACCCAATCCTTGTAATACATCAACTGATCCAATAGAACCGAAGCAAGGCTACCATCCGTTCGATCTCCAACAAGTTCTCTACCATACCTAGTGCTAGGCAAGACTCCACTTAATGCTATGTCTATTAGCTGAATCTCACTCTCATTCACGTTCTCGGTCTCCTTCCTAGCGAAAATTGTACTAGCTAGAGATTTGTGGAAGTAACTTATGACCGAGCTTTGAATTTGAGCACTATTCGATTTGGAGGAGGTATACTCCTTCCCGTCTCCAATGGTTCTCTAAACTGACTTGATCTCCTCTTTAAGCACATCTTGGCTCATTCCATTTGCTTGCTGGAAGCCATAGAGATTCTCAACCTCCTTAAATGTTAGAGACTAGGTTGTACCTCTCACAATGAAGGTGATGTAGCCAAGACACTCATCCGAGTAGAATTCGGACTCATCCTCATAGAAATGGAGCTGAAGATAAGCGAGAACGTAGCATGTCTCCTCATCGTAGGCCTCCTTGTTCTTGGTCAGGAACGAACCCAGCCCGCACCTCTCGAACAAGAACTCAACATCTCGTGCAATTCCCAGCTCCTTCATTGTCTTCCAGTGAGGGTAGCAGGTTCCAATGAACCTTTGTCGCCTAAACATGGTATAGAGTTCCTCGGGAGGGAGGGAGCTTCTTGCTCTTCCTTGGTGCAACAGTTCTCCTAGGCTCAATGTTTTCCATAGGTTCATCAACATCCTCCTTTGCTGGCCTCTCCCCCCTTGTAACTTCTTCTCTTGAAATCGGGATGTCTTGACCCGATCGACTGACCCGATTGGGTGATCGAGTCCGAGCTCGAGCTCGGGCATCTTTCTTCTCTTTTTTGGCCCAATCGAGTCCGGATCCAGCAGCTTGGACATTTAAGAAATTTCTTGCAATTTCTTCAGCGGTTTGATTGTGATGGGCCTCCCTTTGTGATCTTGAAAGGCTTCTTCTCCTTGGTTGAAATCTTTATGAAGACATCTTAATTTTCTGGGAATCAAGAACTCAAAGCTCAACTTTAGTAGGTTAGCAACCCAGAAAATGAGAACAACAAGAACAAAAGAAAGAACAAATCCAGAAAATATGAAGAACAGTGAACTAGAGAGAAGGAAGAGAGAAATCTAACGAGAGAAGTGAGTTTTTTGCAAAATGAGAGAGTAAAGGAGCTTTAGTCGAGTTTGTGCTTTATATAGAGGGTGAGAGGGGACAAAAAATGAAGAGGGGAGCGTTTTGGTCGGGTGGGATTTAAATTTCAAAATTCAAATCGGGTTGGTCATTGACTCGACCGTTGCTACCTTTGACCCGATCGGACAGCTCATATTGAACACGATCGGACGGCTCAGATTGAACACTCGGGTGACGTTGACTCGACCGTTACTCCGTTGACTCCACCGAATGGGCTTCTGGTTTTGGGCTCTAAGGTCCATTTGGCTCATTTTCTCTTCCTTTTCTCCTCTTTAAGCCCGTTAGCACCTTTTCTTGCTCATAATCACACCTGAACACACTTAAAACAAACGCAAATAATCCAAAACAACATAATCTTAAATAAATATATACAAGGATACCATTGGGACTTCCTCCCAAGTGAGCTTGTTTAAAGTCACTGAGCTTGACTTTGCATGGGCCTTAAGACGTAGTGGAACAGTAGAAAGGCTTAGTAATCCTCTCTAGGACCAATGACCAGTGGACTTGGCACCTATTCCGCAAAGCATACCTCTTGAAACTAAGAACTCTCTTAGCCTTCCTTGAAGTTAGGATATGGTTCCTCCTTTTCAACTCTACAACTTCCTTAGGTCATCTCCAATGGAGTGGCTTAAGGGTATATTAAGCAAGTTTTTAGATCAAAAGTTTTAAAAAATAAATGTAAACTCAATATTATGTTAAGAATCGTATCTCAACAAAGGGTTTTCAGAAACATTAAAAAACTAATAGGTGTCAGTGTTTGATTGAGGGAAAAAAGCAAAACCAAAAAGAAAAAAAATTCATGCGTCGCGTCTCTCTCATTCTCTCTTATCTCTCTTTCTCTCATGTTTTTTCTGAAGGCAAAGCAAAGAGATCTGTCTGTTGGGTTGATTTCAGAGGCAAATAAGCAATCAATCTCGTCTCTCAGCCGCCGTGATGTTAATCTCTGGCTGGTCTTTCATCGGTGAGTTGAGTTGAGTTGTATCTTGTTCAGTTTGTATTATGGTATGTTCTTAGGCCGGCTTAAATAAGTTGGAATGATCAATGATGTGTTATGTTCTTTTAAAGCATAAATAAGTTTGTGTTAATGAATCTGATCAATGATGTGTTCTGTTCCTTGTAATGAATCAGTTGCGTGTGTCTTCTTCAGTTTGTGTTATGGTCTGATCAACGAATCAGTTGACTGTGTCTTGTTCAGATTGTCATTTAATCGGTTTTGAATTGTTTGAATAGAACATAACTTATCTTTGATTCTCATTTCATTTTCAGCTTGCATACATTGGTAATTGTTGGGTTGAAGCATTGAGATGAACTGTTGTAACTATGAGATGAAGTGTTGTGAAATGAAGTATTGTGAGATGAAGAGTCAGTTGAGTTTGTATAATTTGAGTGAAAGCAAGTGATGTATACACAAATTTTAAATTTTTAGAATCTCTTATTATAAGTTTACCATTGGACTTCCCAAAAAATTAAAAACATTTTAAGGTTCTTAATTTTTACTGTTACATTATTTATATTACAAATATGGTT